TAGGTAACAATAAGGCGATGTCGGAATACTTCCAAGGGTGTTGATGTGCCCGATATAACGTGATGTAGGTAACGATAAGGCGATGTTGGAATACTTCCCAGGGTGTTGATGTACCCGATATAACGTGATGTAGGTAACAATAAGGCGATGTCGGAATACTTCCCAGGGTGTTGATGTACCCGATATAACGTGATGTAGGTAACAATAAGGCGATGTCGGAATACTTCCAAGGGTGTTGATGTACCCGATAAAACGTGATGTAGGTAACGATAAGGCGACGTTGGAATACTTCCCAGGGTGTTGATGTACCCGATATAACGTGATGTAGGTAACGATTAGGCGATGTCGGAATACTTCCCAGGGTGTTGATGTACCCGATATAACGTAATGTAGGTAACGATTAGGCGATGTCGGAATACTTCCAAGGGTGTTGATGTACACGATATAACGTAATGTAGGTAACAATAAGGCGATGCCGGAATATTTCCCAGGGTGTTGATGTACCCGATATAACGTGATGTAGGTAACAATATGGCGATGTCGGAATACTTCCCAGGGTGTTGATGTACCCGATATAACGTAATGTAGGTAACGATTAGGCGATGTCGGAATACTTCCAAGGGTGTTGATGTACCCGATATAACGTGATGTAGGTAACGATTAGGCGATGTCGGAATACTTCCCAGGGTGTTGATGTACCCGATATAACGTAATGTAGGTAACGATTAGGCGATGTCGGAATACTTCCAAGGGTGTTGATGTACACGATATAACGTAATGTAGGTAACAATAAGGCAATGCCGAAATATTTCCCAGGGTGTTGATGTACCCGATATAACGTGATGTAGGTAACAATAAGGCGATGTCGGAATACTTCCCAGGGTGTTGATGTACCCGATATAACGTAATGTAGGTAACGATTAGGCGATGTCGGAATACTTCCAAGGGTGTTGATGTACCCGATATAACGTGATGTAGGTAACGATTAGGCGATGTCGGAATACTTCCCAGGGTGTTGATGTACCCGATATAAAGTAATGTGGGTAACGATTAGGCGATGTCGGAATACTTCCAAGGTTGTTGATGTACCCGATATAACGTAATGTAGGTAACAATAAGGCGACGTTGGAATACTTCACTTGACAAAAGTGGGATGTCAGACAAGAATAGAAACACGCACATGTCAAAGCACCGCTTGTAAGGGTAATATACCGTAACAACCAACTGATAGGGAGGGGTTACCACTAAATCACTGGGGGATAACAGTTAACTGACTGAGAGGTGCAACCACTAACTCAACGGGAGGGATAACAACCAACTGATTGGGAGGGATAACCACTAACTGATTGGGAGGGATAACAACCAACTGATTGGGAGGGATAACCACTAACTGACTCAGAGGGGCAACCGCTAACTGATTAGGAGGGAAAACTACTAACTGATTGGGAAGGATAACCACTAACTGATTGGGAGGGATATCCACTAACTGGTTGAGAGGGATAACCACTAACTGATTGGGAGGGATAACCACTAACTAATTGGGAGGGGTAACCACTAACTGATTGGGAGGGATAACCACTAACTGATTGGGAGGGGTAACCACTAACTGATTGGGAGGGATAACCACTAACTGATTGGGAGGGATAACCACTAACTGATTGGGAGGGGTAACCACTAACTGATTGGGAGGGGTAACCACTAACTGATTGGGAGGGGTAACCACTAACTGATTGGGAGGGGTAACCACTAACTGATTGGGAGGGATAACCACTAACTGACTGAGAAGGATAACCACTAACTGATTGGGAGGGATAACCACTAACTGATTGGGAGGGATAACCACTAACTGACTGAGAGTTAACCACTAACTGATTGGGAGGTAAAAACGCTAACTGATTGGGTGGGATAACTACTAACTGATTGGGAGGGATAACCACTAACTGATTGGGAGATAAAAACGCTAACTGATTGGGTGGGATAACCACTAACTGATTGGGAGGGGTAACCACTCTCTGACTAAATTGTGTAACCATTAGCGAACTGCCAGGTTAATTGACTGGAAGGATTAGCTGACTGTGACGTGTGATCTAGTTTATCACCCACAATTGCAATTAAGACGCTACAGTTAATGATGGCATGACCCGTGATTATACTGTGCATGTTCAATAAGTTGGCCGAGGGTCATTACTTGCCAACTGATAATGAAGCTCATTATCCTGTGTAATCACTGTAGCCAGGCGGGAGGCGTAATGAGGACGCTGGCGCGGTCACGAAGACAACATAGTTCAACAATAATGTCGGGTATTCTGTTCCAATCTTCTCATCCCCTTAGATACCCATATCTCTAGACCCGCACCCCCAATACCCAACCCACCCTACCCACAAATCTACCCCGATATCCTCCCCACATCGTCTTTCTGATTTAGAGACTACAAAACGAGCGATGCCTTATCATAAATAACTGAAAAAACTGCGAATGTAATATTGTAATATTATTTACCAAACGCATATGTTGCCATAACATTGCCGTGATTGGCTGGACCCCTGGCACCAGTGTGGGCAAACCTTTTATGTTCACATTGGGAGATAAAGAGAGAGAGAAAGAGAGAGAGAGAGAGAGAGAGAGAGAGAGAGAGAGAGAGAGAGAGAGAGACAGAGAGAGAGAGAGAGACAGAGAGAGAGAGAGAGAGAGAAAGAGAGGGAAAGAGAGAGTGTGAGAGAGAAAGAGAGAGTGAGAGAGAGAAAGAGAGAGTGAGAGAGAGAAAGAAAGAGAAAGAGAGAGAAAGAGAGAGTGAGAGAGAGAAAGAGAGAGAGAGTGAGAGAGAGAAAAAGAGAGAGTGAGAGAGAGAAAGAGAGAGTGAGAGAGAGCGACGGTTTTACTGTTGTTGAAGGCAGTAGGGTGTGACATGTTTGTAGGAGATGAACAGAGATCACGCGAGAAGCACAATCTCGAGAGATGTGATAAGCTGACGTCTTAACCTTCTGCTGAAAGTTCCAGTCGTTCTGACTTCCATGTCCATCAACTACACCTGTCTGTATCAGTGGCTTCACATCGAGGAACAGTTGCATCTGACGTGTGTTGACAGCGGTTGGTTTGCCGTTCAAATGTAGGATTTGAACATGAGGATATCGCCTTCCAGGGGAATGCGAGCCCCAAGAGCGAGTGCGCCAATACGATTCACTGGTGATGTGCTTGCACAATGATGTCCTGAATCGGTTTGACCAAATTAGTGAATGTTGAACGATGTTTTATTCCGTTTCACTCGCTGTCTTGAAGCGGATGACGACCGTGTCACGTGACCACGACCTCACGAGCATCTGTATGGATTGACTGGTTTAGAGATGTCCTAAAGAAACGTCTGTATGTTGAGATACTCCAGCACAAAGGACGCAAACAACAGTTATATTGTGTTACGAAAAATAGATTGTCAACTAAACTGAATAATGCGGAATTTATGATCTGAAATGGATTATTCCCAAAATGTCAGTGTCGATAATGGAGCGGTAATAGTGATGGTGCTCGTTAACATGTGGCGGTTTGTTACACGCTGATAACCTGATCGAGTGAAATCAGGGTCTGCATTATGACCCTTCCCAGCTCTATATATAGCTAACGCCATTATCCCGGGTGGGTGGGGAGCTCCTCAGAACGCCTTCTGCTGCGACGTCCCCTCTGCCCTGACAACGTTGTTTTACGTCTGTTCGACAACACACTTTCTGTAAGATTTTGCTCTAATGGACAATTACAGTGTCATTTACCAGGATAAACAGTATGAGTGACTGTTAGTCAAATATGAGCGAGATGGGTCCCTGGTGACTAAATCAAATTATTTCTAAACCACCGTATCTGTTGTTTTTGCCGTCCAAACATGAACCTTTCGCATTAAGCCTAATAGTGTCGCTATATCATGACTCTGCTGAGGCGAGAGCTGGAGCCCTGCGCACGGCAATCAGACAAACGAGCCGAGGAACGACACACAATATCTTACATGGCCAAGAGTTCCGAACTCTGCCAGCAGAACAACTCCCCTTGGTGGTGCAAAACAACAGTCATCCATAATGCATCATCTTTTCATATACTAGTACTTCAGATATATAAGAAATCAATTTCCAAATAAAAAAGGGATATTTTTCTTTCTGCCAAATAGTTTTATTTTTCATTTATTACAGGCTAGTAAAAAGACTAAATAATTAGACTAGCTAAATTCTTAATAATTAAGAACAATAATTCATCTACAACGAACAACCTAACCACCATCATCCAAACACGTTACTCACCACCAATCCACCCAACCCCACCATCCGCTCCACATTGTGACGTTCATACGTTTTTCACGAGACCGTATACTTGAAATGACGTAAACACTGACGGACAACTTACTACTGGGGAAGGTCCTGGGAATTCCCTAACAGGAATAAAGGCAGAAGCGTTGTTTTTGATCATTTGGACCCCTTAAATCTTGAACTTAGTGTTTTAGCATACACAGGGATAAGTCTGTTTGACTGAGTTTGATTAACTGTCCGGTTAGACATATTCTCGCTATGACACATCCCGGTGAACAAAATGAAGAAATGCACATCCAGACTATGGACTTGACCCGTGTCGAGACTGACAAGTCTACAGCAATCTATTTGATACTGACGTTCATACAGTTTGACCCTCAGTCCATGAAGGTTCATACTCCAATGAACTCACACAAAGTGAAAGCTAATTCTTAATTCAACACCAAGAAAACACACATGTAATATACTGATGGAAACAATTAAGGGAAAGCCTAGTTTCAGACACAGTTAAATGAAATGCTTTCATGGTTCCCAGCCTTGTCTACCCAATACGAGTTGCAAACACATCTAAACATTTGATTCTGACATGTGGTGAATTCTGATGCTCGCAATTTCCAATGTTATGACTGTAAAGCTTATTTCCCTGTATGTTTCACTGTTCCCCTATTCGTTTCCATCAGTCCATGTACTCTATTAGAATAAAGCCGTGCTGTTACCTTGCATATAGTGTCTGCCGTGTCCACATAGGACGTCTTGTCACTGTGGAGGAAAGTGACCTTCTTCCAGTTGAACAGCTTCAGGATGGACACCAGACTCTTGGAGATCTGGAAATCTGTCGGCTTCGTCCTGGCGAAGGTCGGGTATAGCTGCTTGTTGCTCACCTCTGTCTGGGCACAGAACTGAAACAGAGCAAGTAGCCGGGATGAGAGTTTAGATAATCGGGACAATCCAGTGATCGACATCAATACCATGACATCCATCAACCAAGTCAGCGAGCCTGGCCCCTCGATACCGTTAGTCGCCTCTTACGACAAGCGTAGGCGCCTTTTACGGCACGCATCTGTTACTGAAGACCTGTTCTAACCCGGATCGTCACGCACCGCCCCGTCATCGTGCCCCATCTCAACAGGGTACTTCATCTCGACAAGAGCACCTCATCTCAGCAGGGGTACCGCAATCTGAACAGGGTACCTCATCTCAACACGGGTATCAAATTTCAACAGGAGTACCTAATTTCAACAGGGGTACCCCATCTCAACCGGGGTATCTAATTTCAACAGGGGTACCTTATCTCAACAGGGTACCTTATCTCAACAGGGTACCTCATTTCAACAGGGGTACCTCATTTCAACAGGACACCTAATCCTAACAGTGGTACCTCATCTCAACAGGGTGCCCCATCTCAACAGGGTACCTCATCTCAACAGGTTGCCCCATTTCAACAGGGTGTCTAATCTCAACAGTGATACCTCATTTCAACAGGGTATCTAATCTCAACAGTGATACCTCATCTCAACAGGGGTACCCCATCTAAGCATGGTGCCCCATCTCAACAGGGTACCTCATTTCAACAGTGATACCTCATCTCAACAGGGTACTTCATCTCAACAGGGTGCCCCATCTCAACATGGTGCCTCATCTCAACAGGATATCTAATCTCAACATGGTGCCCCATTTCAACAGGGTACCTCATTTCAACAGGGGTACCTCATCTCAACAGGGTACCTCATCTCAACAGGGTGCCCCATCTCAACATGGTGCCTCATCTCAAAAGGGTATCTCATTTCAACAGGGTTACCTCATTTCAACAGGATATCTAATTTCAACAGTGGTACCTCATCTCAACAGGGTGCCCCATCTCAACATGGTGCCTCATCTCAACAGGGTATCTCATTTCAACAGTGGTACCTCATTTCAACAGGATATCTTATCTCAACAGTGGTACCTTATCTCATCAGGGTACCTCATCTCAGCGCAGGGTGCTCCATCTCAACAGGGTATCTCATTTCAACAGAGGTACCTTATTTCAACAGGATGTCTAATCTCAACAGTGGTACCTTTTCTCAACAGGGTACCTCATTTCAACACGGGTACCTCATTTCATCAGGGTACCTCATCTCAGCGCAGGGTGCCCCATCTCAACAGGGTACCTCATTTCAACAGGGGTACTTCATTTCAACAGGATGTCTAATCTCAACAGTGGTACCTCATCTCAACAGGGTACCTCATCTCAACAGGGATACCTCATTTCAACAAGGGTACATCATCTTAACATGGTACGTTGAGTAATGTTCAACGTGACGTGTGAGTTAGATATTAGTCATGGTGTCTTTAGTTGCCGTATACGGCGTCGTATTAGGTTGGTAGAAAAATCTTGGGCGAGGGTTGGTAGTTCTGCTCTCTAATTGGCCAATCTCACTTTGAGGCCTAATGATAAGTATTACATGGATTAAAATCGAAATATGAGGAAGAGATATGTTCGTGTTTGTAGTTGTTAGTGTCATCTCTAGTATCAATGACTGAATGTTCTGAATCTCAAAACGAGTGGCACAATCACGCCGAGTACCAGTCGACCCAGGTGTGTCTGAGTGTTGTCCAACACCGCTTCAGCAATATTCCACGAGGAGACGCGAGATACGGGTTTCACACATTGTACCCATGTGGGAAATCGAACGCAGACCTTTGGCGTGACGAGCGACAACATTAATCAGACGGCTAACCCACCGCCTCCTATGGACTATGGACAAAGCGAATGCTATGTATTAGAGACTACATTAGCTAAGCAAACGGTGGGTACTGAGGCGGCCTCCAGACAATGTCCTGTTTATTGGCCTACGGAGGGTCCGAGCGGGCAATTTGGCCATGATCCCCTTGCAGGAGCACTGGATATAGAACAGCGCTGTAACCAACCGTAATGAGTGCGGCTCCTAGTCTCGCCAGCAGCAGGTACAACACACGCATTGCGATTTATTTTATCAGCGGTAATGGCTACTACTTCCTGCTCTAAAAACTTATATTTTCTATCTACTTTTAAATATTATTGACGGTCGACGTTTGACAAAAGTAGACATGATATAGCGAGTTCAAGGTACCTAAGGTCATCCCCCGAGATCTCCAGAAGATGACCACTAGCGTCACTTAGACGGCGAAATCTTGCATTACACTTCATTTACATTGTAAAACTGCCTAACATAGTCACTTAGTTAAGCGATTGCATGGTGTCCTGGGATTAGAGTGAGTGAGTGAGTGAGTGAGTGAGTGAGTGAGTGAGTGAGTGAGTGAGTGAGTGAGTGGGTGGGTGGGTGAGTGAGTGGGTGAGTGAGTGAGTGAGTGAGTGAGTGAGTGAGTTAATGGGTGAGTGAGTGAGTGAGTGAGTGAGTGAGTGAGTGAGTGAGTGAGCGCTTTTAGCAATATTTCAGCCCACCATGACGGGATCAACGACAATGGGTGTCACTGTACTATTGTTGGGGATCGAACCCGGTCAAGGGTGTGACTGTCGCATAACACGTCCTCCCCATCGCTTTCTCTAATAGTGAGTTAAGGAAAAAAGTTCTGATCGAGAGTTGTGTCCCTTTTCATCGAGGATGAAATAACAGTCGGGACTTGTACCATCCGGGTCTTCGTCAACCCATGCTTGTCGTAAAAGGCGACTAACGGGGTCGGGTGGTCAGGCTCCCTGACTTTGTTGATGCATGTCATCGTGACCCAGTTGATTGATGCTCATGATGTCAATCACTGGATTATCTGGTCTGGTCTGGACTATTGCTGAGTGCGGCATTTAACAAAAAACAAAAAAACAAACGGGACTTGTACACCAGGCACAGGACGAAGGGCCCCCGACAGACTCCGTCTTGTATTCACACAGAAGGAATTAATCCATCAGCAAAAATTGACTCGAGAACTCGAACAAGTCATCTTCACTTGACAGCTGACCTTCGGTAAGTCGGTTGATGAAACCAGAAGCTATTACATCATTAAATTAACCTCATCACTGCACTTCTCAACACGCTGCGCCTATCATTGAGCAAGGTGACCCGGTCTCTAGGTACAAGTCTTGCAGGGATCTGCAAAAGCTGGACAGCAATAGAAACGCGCGACACAAGGCCCCACTGGAAATCGATCACAATAAACAGACACCAAATATTTAATTCATACCAGTTGTTGTTTCTGTTAACGCACTTTGAAAAAACCCATACACTTCTCAAGTTACTGCTGTCTATGGAACTGATTTTATTCTCCTTTCAATTCCCCTTTCATGTCGTCTGTTGAGAGGAAGGTGTCTTTCTGAATAATTTGATGTGAGACCCAAACTGCTGAAGCCAGTGCACGTCTAGAGGTTTTCGACTCCGGGAATGCGATGTTTATATATGTACATTTATCTCAACAGTGTAAATAATCAGGCTGACCGGGAGATGAGCTACCATCCTCGACGTCGACTTGAAATCAAACATAATAGCTACATGTACATCACACTCTGTAGTCACCATATGAAGTCACAGTGTAGTCGGTGTAGTCATAGTGTAGTCAGAAGATGTAGTCGGTGTAGTCACAGTATAGTCAGTAGATGTAGTCGGTGTAGTCACAGTATAGTCAGTAGATGTAGTCGGTGTAGTCACAGTGTAGTCAGTAGATGTAGTCGGTGTAGTTATAATGTAGTCATCACATGTAGTCGGTGTTGTCACAGTATAGTCAGTAGATGTAGTCGGTGTAGTTATAATGTAGTCAGCAGATGTAGTCGGTGTAGTTATAATGTAGTCATCACATGTAGTCGGTGTTGTCACAGTATAGTCAGTAGATGTAGTCGGTGTAGTCAAAGTGTAGTCAGCAGATGTAGTCGGTGTTGTCACAGTATAGTCAGTAGATGTAGTCGGTGTAGTCATAGTATAGTCAGCAGATGTAGTCGGTGTAGTCACAGTGTAGTCAGCAGAAGTAGTCGGTGTAGTCACAGTATAGTCAGCAGATGTAGTCGGTGTAGTCATAGTATAGTCAGCAGATGTAGTCGGTGTAGTCACAGTATAGTCAGTAGATGTAGTCGGTGTAGTCACAGTATAGTCAGCAGATGTAGTCGGTGTAGTCACAGTATAGTCAGTAGATGTAGTCGGTGTAGTCATAGTATAGTCAGCAGATGTAGTCGGTGTAGTCACAGTGTAGTCAGCAGATGTAGTCGGTGTAGTCACAGTATAGTCAGCAGATGTAGTCGGTGTAGTCATAGTATAGTCAGCAGATGTAGTCGGTGTAGTCACAGTATAGTCAGTAGATGTAGTCGGTGTAGTCACAGTATAGTCAGCAGATGTAGTCGGTGTAGTCACAGTATAGTCAGTAGATGTAGTCGGTGTAGTCACAGTATAGTCAGTAGATGTAGTCGGTGTAGCCACAGTATAGTCAGCAGATGTAGTCGGTGTAGTCACAGTATAGTCAGTAGATGTAGTCGGTGTAGTCACAGTATAGTCAGTAGATGTAGTCGGTGTAGTCGGTGTAGTCAGCAGATGTAGTCGGTGTAGTCACAGTGTAGTCAGCAGATGTAGTCTGTGTTGTCACAGTATAGTCAGCACATGTAGTCTGTGTTGTCACAGTGTAGTCAGCAGATGTAGTCGGTGTAGTCACAGTATAGTCAGTAGATGTAGTCGGTGTTGTCACAGTATAGTCAGCAGATGTAGTCTGTGTTGTCACAGTGTAGTCAGCAGATGTAGTCGGTGTAGTCACAGTATAGTCAGTAGATGTAGTCGGTGTAGTCATAGTATAGTCAGTAGATGTAGTCGGTGTAGTCACAGTATAGTCAGTAGATGTAGTCGGTGTAGTCATAGTATAGTCAGTAGATGTAGTCGGTGTAGTCACAGTATAGTCAGTAGATGTAGTCGGTGTAGTCACAGTGTAGTCAGCAGATGTAGTCGGTGTAGTC